GTTTTACTGTGCGTATTGCTCTGTGCGTTTGTTTATTCCACATGGACTACAGGTATATGGGGAGGATTGAGATCTCACAAATCATGTTTAACCCGTTTGCACTTGATGATATCGGTACAGTCGTACCAGGAAGCTGGTCTGATATAACATGATAATTCCATTTCTTTCACACGGACAAACATTAGCATATCAAGGATTAATGTATGATAAAATATGGTATACGTATACAGGATTAAGTGTGGTCATGTATGATGGAAAAAAGTCGTGTACATCCGTTAAAAACGTGATCAGTATATTTAAAGTGTTGGTAGGTGTTGTTGTTGTGAAAAAGACACGATACATGTATGAGCAGTTGTATGTAAAGCTGAGGGCTGTTTAATTTTTTTTATGTTGAATTTAATACTTGAATTTTCGTCAAAAACATCAAAAGATTCAAGTTTTGAAATCCATCCAAGTACTGTACTATTGAGTACTAGTATATTGAACAGATATATCATGTTAAGGAGGGGTATTTGCGAAAAATACCAGTCGAGAGAATGTTAAATTTCGCGAGCCGTAAGGCGAGGGAAATTCATTCTCAAGACTGGTATTTTTCGCAAATACCCCTCAAGAACATGCTATATCTGTTTAATTACACCGAATGTTAAAGTACAAAACGCATTGATGATCGTGACATTACAAGCGTCCAGTCGGATAGAGTATTTTTTGGCAAATACCACGGCAGAGAGGGTAAAAAAGGCATATCCTTTTTGCATATACCCCGGCGCTTTTTAAAAATGAATGATATTCATTTGATAAAAGTAAACTGGTGAAAAATACACTGGCTATCAACCAATCAAAACCCAGGATTCTTACATAAGGTGTAATTACGTCAATAATCTCGCTTTCATAAATGGTACGAGCATTTGTTGACATGTAATGAAGATAATTCGTACATATTTTAGGTCTAAAGTGGAACAAAAATATATTACATTTAATTTATTAGTTACAAAGTGTGATAGTGACCTAATACGATATTTATGGGGTTAGTAAATTAGTGAAAGAGAAGCTCGAAGCAAATTTGGAATTTATTGACCCCATATATCGTATTAGGTCACTAGCTCACTGTGTAACGAATTTATCTTACCGACTATCTTAACATTTAGACTAGTGGCCATTCAGAATGATCAAATCTTCAATATGAAGAACCTGCTGCCATTGGTCTATACATAAACAAATGCTAACAATAACAACTTGTATTAGCTTTTAATGTGTTTTCTGCATTTATTTTAATCGTTAATCAACAATTTCTTAGGTTTGTTGAAACGTTTCAGATTTTTCCTCAACTCCGTGTTGTTTTTATAAAGGGACGTAACACCACTACTAACCATGTATCAAAATAATCAAGCCTACTAACCCCATATGAAATATACACAGTCTCCACGCGGTAGCTTTTAACTCATGATATTCCTGGAAATGTATAGGAGGTAAGATTAACAGAATTAAAAGTACTACAATTGATTTTTCCACAGCTCCTGTCAGGTATTATCTATCTGCATTAGACTCATAGAAAACGATTCGAAATCGTGGCGCTACATGTAGCTTGCTCTGGATTGAACTATCGAACGCTTTAGTTGGATTCAATATAAACCATAATCGTAAATCATCACATGCACTGTCATATGAAGTAGATTTCCAAGTTCATATATATTCTTATAGAATATACGCATTGTTGCTTTTTCTTCCATTCAAGGTTAGTTCTGATATTACACAACTGTTTTAAACCAGTTAAAGCTATATGGGGCCCTGTTTAAACAATGTACAATGCATAAAACTTTTCAAAGAGTCATGTTTAAACCATAGCAAACACTTCAAACAAAGCATTTTTATTACTGTAATTTTCAAAAATAATTTTTATGATCACCAGGTTTGTCAATTTGAGAGTACAGTCTATGGTGATAAAAAGCTGTAATAATCCGTGTACACGCATATTTTGGACTGAAAAACGATGTTGCATCATACTCGTTATATATATTATGCAATTTAATAATTGGCATTTGACCCAGTTTGCATAATAATTGATGTCTACCATTGTTTTGGAATATTGATAAACAATCATCAAGTGTTAAGTTCATTTTGTCATTTGGTCGTTATGTTTTAAGTTCCTTCAAAATATATCTTGATCTTATTGCCTCACTATCAGAGGAACTTAAGTAAAAACTACAAATTTCAGAGTTTTTAACATATAAAACATTCGGGTCTTGTACAAGTATCGGTTAAAATATCACATGACCAGGAACACATGACAAAACATAGGAGGTTGACATCATTTTAATATGATTTCGTCGATCAATATCGTTGTCTATGACGGAGTGGATATGTTTTGATTACGATTATGCTAGGGTTCATTCTGCTTCCAGAAATCTTCTGAAATTTTGTTTGTTTCTATGGTGCGTCCTTTATGAATATAAGCTTTTGATGAGTTATTTTTTTTCATGTCTTCAAGAGAGATAATAGCTTTTTCCATTTTCTCCTTTCATTTTTGAAAAGGTGGATAACTGAATCATGATTTTTATATGTTTTGTGTGTTTCACTGTATGGAGACTGATCTGGTTTGGTGAATTCTATTTGGCAATAATTTGTAGCTCCTCTTTTGTTCTTTCCTCCCTTTTGAGCCTTCTCCTTTGCTTGTTTTTGATGTTTTCATTGTGGTAACAAGGGTGACCGTGGAATCAATGGTAGTGAATGTGGAAGTTTTAAGAAAGTGGCTGCTGATTTTGCAATCGGCAAATCTCGGGTGACTCCGCTTCTCTCCATCTATTAGATAGAGATACGGGATCGGCCGTGTTGTGACGAATGCTGATTATTGTGAGAGTTCCTTTTGCAACGAAGTAAGATTTGATACTTTTTGTGTGCTTTTCAGATTGTGGCTTTTGGTGAGGATTCTATTGTAAGGTAAGTGGCAAGGTCTTGTTACACATGTATAGTTTTGTGCATGAAATATGCAGTGTAAAAAATGACAAATTTATACAAAAATGACAGGGATCAACGGCTCTCCCCTTTATGTCAATATTAGGGAATTTGGTTAAACATTACGTCTTAGAAATGATTTGTTTTAAACTGAAGTTTATCTCAATACTAGTACAACTAAAATTTATATTACATTATCAAATTGGCGTTTTTAGTTTGTTGACGTTTTACTTTCTATGACATTGTACAATTCGAACAACTTTTTTTTTATCCCAACAATTCAATATGATGGCTTACTCGTTAGTTCAGACATACATGTATCAATTATTAATTTCATTCGCATTTTGCCAATGAGACAAATGATGCTACATAAACATTGCATAACTTTGTTAGCATGTTTGTTCTAGTATTGCAATGAAACAATGACTCACTCCTGAAATCAATAGATAGGCGAGGTATAAGCTTGAACATTATACTTTTAAAAATGTTATAGGACGTTATGCTGAAGGTTATGGACAAACCAATTAAAGATGAAAATATCATATGATAAATATCCCCATTCGTGTTTTATCATTTGGTTTAAATCTTCATTCTTATAATTTGTAATTATGTCATATGCAAGTTCTATACCATGTTGTTAATTGACACAAAGTCAAAACTATATAATAACATTCTTACCATACAAAAATACACCTTACACCTAAAAAAAACCCAAAGAACAAGAAAAAGTATTCTTTTTATAAGTTTTGTTCGACCTCTAATAAAAAACGAGGTCGACATGAACGAAATATGAAAACATTGTCTTTTGGCAACATAAATTTTATTTGTATTTTCCTCCCATTTAATTTTTACGTTTATTCTTTTTTTAAATTCTTATGAAAGTCTCTGCTGGTGTCCGGCTTGGTGTTTGATGTTTGATCGTGAGGACGAAAACCTAAATGACAATGCCAAAATGAATGCTGGATTCTCAAACAATTTGATATCAAGTTATTTTCCGTGTATTTTTTATTATTGATATACCTTGCATTAGAAGCCTGAGTACCCGAATAGAACTACCTACCTTCGGCAAGGAAACCGGCAATTCTGGTCAATTAAGAAATGAATCGGCCATAACATGTTGAGCTGTGTCCGAACTTATCCAAAATTGTTCTGACGTCGTCTAACGACCTTCTTTTTATGACTTGTTGGACTCAAATGGTCACAAAAGGCCCGTCAGATGTCATAGCAATTTCGAGCTAGGTTTATACCTATATAAGCCATAACATCCTTTAGTTTTGCTTTTTCTGTATTTGTGAGTGAAAGCTGTTGATATGAAGTAGAACTATTTCGATTGATTCTACAAATGTTTTTAAAAATGTAATAACAGATAAAGTTTTAACAGTTGTAAATAGCCTTATGCATCTGTCCTAAGTCAGGAGCCTGTTGCTCAATGTTGTCGTTTGTTAGTGTGGTTCATAGGCGTTTCTCGTTTTTTATATAGATTAGATCACTGGTTTTCCTGTTTGAATTGTTTTAAACTCGTCATTTTGAGGCCCTTTATAGCTTGCTGTTCGGTACGAGCTCCGTGTTGAAGGTCGTTCTTTTACCTATAATGGTTAACTTTTTTATACATTGTGACTTGGATGGAGAGTTGTCTCATTGGCACTCTTACCACATCTATTTATATTATCCATATAAATTTGTAAACTCCATTTGCGCCAGTTCAAATCAACGATTTAGGTCGGCAAGAATTAACACATGATAGTTATTTCTTAACTGTTTTACCGACAATTATTTGAAGCATTTTTTTTCATGTCACTTATTCCGTTGATTAATAGCGTTTGATATTGTCATGCAATTTTTTTACTCTTGTCATACATTTTACCTAACATAAAAATATAACATCATCCTGCGGCTTGATGTGTTATGTACAATACCATCATGAAAATAGTAGCAACAACAAATATGTAAGTACATAGCTAAACTTCTATAAATACACACATATGGAAAGTCCGAAGAAGTTAAAAAACGTCTCCTGTTAACCTTAAATGATAAAGAAGACATTCTTCCTCTAGGATACAATTTAATCACATTAAGAAATTCATCATAATTTTCCTTATAACCAATATGAAATGTTGCAATCTTTAAAATACACTTTTGGTTTTCACAACTATGATAACAATAACAACAAATAAGTCAATAACAATTTAAACTTCTATAGAAAAAAAAACCACACGCATCTTTTATGTCTAAATAAGTCCTATTTAAAATGTTGATTCAGTTAGAAGAACAGGTAGGCTTAATCATCATTCGAGTACTCCTTATTAATGTTGTCCATCTCCATGTTCTCCATGTCATTCTATGATTCCTATTTCCATAACGCTGGTACAAGCCATTGATATTCCCATTCAAACCATTCCCATGCCAAAAGCCACCTCTGGTAAACTTTGTTGCACTATTGTCCCCTTCTCTAATATCATTATCTCGGTCTTTAGTAGTAAACATCCTTCCATTAAGACTGTTCCATCTGTAATCCGTCATTGAGTCGCCTGAATATAAATCAAAGCTGTAAACACTTCTAAAAGTAATCTACCATACTGTCCCTTAAACATGATTAATAAAATTAACGGTACCATGTTTTCTGCAATAAATATTGCAGAAAATATAGTACCGTTAATTTATTTTCGTCTCTTCAGTGATGTTTGATGCCAAAGTTTTTGGAAATACAACTTAAGAAAAAAGTACGAAGAGCTTATAAACCAAAAAGGACAACAAGAGTAGTTAAAGCATTAGGTAAGGTTTCAGAGCTTTGCATGAGGGAGATATATTATTAACTTAAAATAATTTCCGAAATTTTGTAACCGCACATTTTAATACCACAATACGAGTGTGTTCATGCCAGGACCAAAATACTAGGTACTGGGCTGCTGATAAACGATCAAATGTCATTTTGTTATTCACAATACCCTCCCCTGTATCATCATCAATGAAATTAAGCTTGTAATCTGCCTTGCAACATACGGATATCTGGTTCATGCAGGTAAAAGACAGGGAACCAGTCTTACATAAAATTTAAATCATCATCATGTTAGTAGTTCCGAAATTGGGGTTCCCGTTTGAATTGTTTCAAATTTTTCATCTCGGGGTCTTTCATACCTTACTGTATGGTCAATTCGTGTCATTTTGTCTCTGGTGGATAGTTGTCGTATTGGTAATAATACGGAATTTCCTTATTTTTATACAGTAGTCGGTATTGTTTATAAAAGATTGACCACTATTCAGTAAAGATAAATCACGTTACTGAATGTTTTGCATTGTTCAACAGGGTAACAGTATAAATACATGGAAGGGTATCAATTTTATCAGCTTTATAGCGACTGTTTCTTTTCTTCAAGTAGAACTTAAACCTCATATCTCCATTTGAAATAAATCTATCATTTTAGGTTCTAAAACACAGGTGATATATACTAAAGGGTCACATAAACACATAAGTCGAGAACACAGTAACAATGCCATGGCTAAAACGAAAAAAGATCAAATGACAAAGAACAATATACAAAACACAACATAGAAATACTTACAACAGAGCGACACAAACCCCAACAAATACCGGGGGTGATTTAGTTTCCTAACACTGACTCTACAAGCGTTAAAATAGTTCTTTACCCCCCTCCAGAGATAGCTATAAAAATTTCGTGGTTTGTCTGGAGTCTACATGATGAAGTTTATAACAGAAACACGTGACAAACGCCCAAATATTTGTTATAAAGAATTACAAAATTATGTTTGAGATTTATCGGTTCATAAATATTATTTTTGCGAACTTATGATATTGAGCAAACATCACTTAAGATAATCTGTTAGGGCCCTTTTAATGTATGTTGCTCTAAGACATTTATTTTTTATGAACTGTTGGTCTTGAACGCACCAAAAAGTTCATCAGACAAGACTATGACATGTTTATCAAGAAAACAAAATACAAAAGAAAAAGGGTAGCTAAGGCCGTGATATATTCTAGAGAAGACTAGACATGCCAATTAACTATAACACTAAACGTGACGACAAATCTATTTGTAAAAGCAACTTTAATAGCAAAATGACACAGTTAGTGTTTTATGGAACATTATTTTTATCGAAAAATGGTTCATACACATGTAGGGACGAAAAGTCTAGAAAATAGCGATAATCAAAGAACAAAAACAAATTTACATGGTCTAAATATATTTGGCAAATCAAAATTTTCATTTCAAAATAACCTGTTGTTTTATATTTCCTGTCTAACAAATAACACACTATTTATCAAATATATATGGAACGAAGTAACCGATAGATTACAGCTGTAATCGAATATATGAAAGACGTGTTACAAATGTAACAAACAAAAACAAAACGTTAAGAAGACGACAAAAAAGTGTCCTTATCATATCTACTCCTTTAAGAAGTAAGATACCAACTGCTTCAGACGTCTATGTAGGTATCACTTTACCCAGGATCAATTTTGCTTTCAAATATTATCAATTATTAGCACGATTTTTTCTGGATATATATTACCTGCAGTTCCTTCATAACCAGATATGTGGAGTCTATAATTAGAGCTTTCATTCTGAACACTAAATTCAGAGTACGTGGCATACGCTTTCTCGTTTGACAGATCCACAAAGTCGAATCGTACCATATAGGGCCTTCTAGATGTAAGTATATGAAGTTTTTCATTACCTGAAACGAAATAACATCAAACATCTAAACCAAGCTAAACTAGATTTAATTGAGAAAATAAAGTATTTTACATACTCAATTGTCATTTACAAAATTCAACATACAATATATAAAATCCCATGTTGCATTGAGATAGCTGCGCATGTGCATTACTATGATGTAAAAACAAAATTGGAGCAGATTATCCTCGTCTCTCTGCGCGGAGTTTCTGGTGCTCGGTCTACAGCTTTCACTTTAACAAGATGACGATGTGGTATGTTAAAATACAAAAAGTACCGACCTGTGAGTACTCGCAGTTACTGAGAGCTAGTAAAAATTCCATTCTTATTTTACTTAGTCTTGAATGACGGTATGGGGTATGTTATAATTGTAAAATGTGCAACAGCTTTTGTTATTGAATTCCACATTGTAAACTAAATGTAGCAATTTTTTATATACTTGTATCAAAACAACAGAACTTATTTCGTGTATCCATTGTTTTCCTTTTTCCGTATCTTTAGTGATTTGTCCCTCATCAATCCACTGTATTAAGTTTCCCGTAGCAGAAAGTAAAATAACCAAAATTAACGACTTCCGAGGAAAATTTAAAACGGAAAGTCCCTTATCAAATGGCAAAATCAAAAACTCAAACACATCAAGCGAATGGATAACAACTGTCATATTCCTGACTTCGTACAGGCATTTTCATATGTAGAAAATGGTGGATTAAACCTGGTTTTATAGCTAGCTAAACCTCTCACTTGTATGACAGTCGCATAAAATTCCATTATATTGACAACGATGTGTGTTGAAAACAAACAGATATAATAGGTAAAAATGTCAAAAATAGGGGTACAGCAGTCAACATTGTGTTATAATCTTAATCACTATGAAAACAAACAAATATGTCAAAAGAGAAAAACATAAAGGCATATAGAAAAGGCACATAATCAGAAACGAAAGACAGACATACGAAAATTTACCATAGCACAATAACATAATGACGGGATGTATAAGTACCGAGCCACGCCAATGGATATTACCAAAAATAGACTAAACAATAAAAGCAATAATTTACAATGACAAATAAAAGAATATTATGACACGTTATTAAGATGATAAACAACGTCAATACCTAGAATATATACTTCAAGATCATCGTGTATTATTTGCGAAGTTGATACGGAATATTTATCAACGAGATCTTGGTATCTCTCGGTGAACCTTTTTTTTTATAAAAATGACGAGACGTTCTTTGACATATCCCTGGTTTATCAACTTTCTGCTCAGACACTGGTGACATTTTACAAAGTCTGAGTAGCAGCTGCAAGCTCTTGAAAACCAAATAAGTTAGGAAATGTATATACCATATGCAGGTGAGGTTGGTATATTGCTACTAAGGTGGGGAAATTGATAATCTCAAAATTAAAATCGTCTCGTTTGTTATAGATTCTGGTACTGAGATGACCGCTTATGACAAATTCGAGGTAAAAGTATAAACATGAGGCAGAGAAAGCCGTGTCTGTTGTTTCTTTAATTTCCGGTTCTGGAGGATATATCAATGAAATTCAGCCAGAAAAGTTTAGATTGTTAATGGAAAGAACATCATCAATATATCTGAAAGTGAAATTAAATGATCTGTCTTCTTTATCATCTTACAAATAAATGATTCTTTATGTTTCCCCAGGAAAATTTTGCACTACCTCGCGGAAGTTCTTCTGGTGACTGATCAGATTTATACGAAGAGGGCTACATGTTCGCGTTTTTTTTTAATTTTATTTACTTGTTCTACTTTCAAGTTTTTCGAGTTTTCGGTGTTAACTTTATTTTTATACATTTTTGAATTTTTCTACGCAATTTATGTAACGACAAAATATTTCTAACGCACCCTTTAAATGTCTAATTTGCATAAGAAAAAGAATTTCACACATCGCCTGAATATGGAATGCAAATGACAAAGCTTTTAAAAAAAAACTAAAAAAAAACTATAGAGAGCAAACCTAGCCAGAATTCTCCGCCTATGTCACCAAAACCATTTTTATAACTTTCCCAGTCTCTGTAAAAATACACACTTCCGTCAAATCTTCTTTGTACAACCTGAAATATCGAATTTAATGTCAAGAGGAGTAAACTTTCATATTGTTAGAACTATTGTTATTCTCAGCAAATAATGTGACTAATTTAATGGGGGAAAACAAGGTTAAAACTTGCTCTGGTACAGTTAGTAAAGTTGACCTATAATTCTAGTGGTAGTTGTACTGGCCGGACCAGCGAGTTTAACCAAGATGACTGGGTTTATGTAAAGATAAAACAATCAGGAGCTGACTTTTATTTTACTACCAATCCAAATGGTGAAAAACTGAAAATACAAATATAAATACAATTTTACAATGTGTTCAATGATAATTAAAGTCCATTAAAAATACGGATAAACATTTCGTAGATTTATAAAGCTGTTAATGTTCTTTATAATAATAAATAGATGAATATTCTTGCACACGTCGGGTTCTGTCTGAATTAAATTGTGTAATCGCAGATACGAACAGTTTGAACGGTTAAATGTTCATAGTTTCTTTATAACATAGGAAAACATATTAAAACAGTTCATCGCTGATGTAAAGACATAATTTGTAATGTTTTAAAGGTAACTCACGCTGTGGTTAGCTACGAATTGTTCCTTTGGACAACGTGTCCGCTGAATGTTCCTTTGTTGTGCACACGGCCTGCTGAATGTTCCTTTGTTGTGCACACGGCCTGCTGAGCAGTTTTCGTCACTCAGAAGAGAGGGGAAAGTAACATGGGTTCCTACACTGTCCTGTATAAAACTCCTAAAACTGGAGCATATAAAGTGATGTACGCAATGAAACATAAACAATATAAAATGATGACCACATGAAGAACAAATGATGAATGAGTTCCAGAACACTCCCCGTCTGAGGTCTATCTGACATCACTATTCCATTATTAAAACAAATAAAATGTTAAATATATAACAGCAGTCCAAAGTTCCACTTATATGAACTTGGAATTAAGTAATCCAACGGGAGGCTGGGTATTTCACAGCTTCTTTCCTAGATAAGGTGGTGTTTCCGACGAGATCGCGGCGATCTAAGATCCAATTTCATGGCTGTAGTTCTGATCGATGAATCTCCTTTCGACACAGATATGCGATCCAACAGGGACGTCTTGCAAAACGGACGCTTTCCTTTACATTTACGGCATACAGTAGACCAGCCGGTGCCATGTTCCTTTTCTCTGTGACTTAAGTCCGAATTGTCTATTCTACTTTCCTCTTGTCCTTGCGTATCCAAAGGCAAAATGAAGCTTTCCTTGGAAATTGAATGTTTTCGGATGTACTTTTCTTTGTCGGCATTCACTTTTGGTGATGTTGCTTCCGAAATGAACTTTTCGTCTTCTGCAAATTTGACGATCGAAGTCGCTGATTTCGTTTTTGGTTGCCCATGTAAACGGGAATATTGTTTAAACGAATCAGTTCGAATTCCATTTGACTGGGTGTTGGTTTTATTACACTCAGGTAATTTCTTTGTATGTGGTTTCACAACACTGCAAGTTGGATTTGTTTCCTTTGTAGTGAGTTCAAGGTGAACATGTTGCTTATCGGAGCCTATTTCACCAACGATAATCCAACCCAGGTTTAACTTTTGCGCAAATGGAGCCTTTGGTGGTCCTAGACGTTGATCAAGGACGTGATGTGCTTCTATTAGGTCTCTTCCAATGAGCAATAGGATTTTGCATTTTCCATCAATCGGGAGAATATTTTTTTGTAGTTCTTGCAAGTGTTGATATTGCAATATATCCTCAGTTGTAGCAATTTCGTTCCGATTATTGGGAATGTTATCGCATTCAATCAGTTCAGGCAGATTGAATCTAGTATTGTCTTGTACAGACTTTACGACAAAGCCGTTTCCTCGTTTTCCGGAAGTAACCTTGCTGCCGGAGCATGTGGATAACATATAGTCTTTTGTTTCTTCCTGTACGTTCAATAGGCTGAAGAATTCAGGAGCGGCGAGAGACCGGTTGCTTTGGTCGTCAATAATTGCATACATGCGAATTACTTTGTCCTGATTATTTTTGTGAAAGACATTCACAGGGAGTATCTTGGCACAAGATTTACTACTGTTGCCATCTTTACAGATATCTGTGCAAGTTGAACTAACAGAGGTTAGCTTGGTTTCAGCTAACTCAAGTTGCTCCCCGCCGTTGGCTGTATCAATTAGCTCCCCGCCGTCGACTGATCTAGGCGGTGAAGGCGGTGCACCTTTGGGTTGGTACACTCGATTTGTGTGTAATGCGGTGGTGTGTTGTTTACTTCCGCATTCATTGCAACTGATACTTGCCTTGCAATCACGACTTCTGTGCATAGTCGAATCACAGCATTTGTAACAAAGATTGTTTTGCCTCAACAGTTCCTTGCGTTCCTCGATTGATTTGGCACGGAACGCTCGGCATTCGTTTAAGGTATGCTTTGTATTATGCAAAATGCAAAGACTTTGTTGTTCACTGCTGTCTCCAGGTTGCTGTTCAACTGCTGTCTTATGAACATTGACTTTAGAATATGTTTGAGGTGTGAACTTTGGCGCAGCACCTTTTGTACTTGGTGTGACTCTTGACCTAAAAATGAACCCAGGATCGTTCTTTATTTTGCTAATTTCCCTGATGAAGGCAGAGAATTCTGTGAAAGGTGGAAAAACTTCATATTTAGACTTGTATCTTGAAGCCCTTGTTATCCACTTTTCTTGGAGTCCGTATGGCAGTTTTTCCACTATAGGATTTATCCCGGATGAAGAGTCGAAATACGCAAGCAAACATCCCAGCTTGGGATTTTCCTTGTGATATTCTATTTCTGAGATAATATCTGACAAATCGTGAAGGAGTGAGTTGTCCTTATTCGTCAGTGTTGGGAATTTGACGAGTTTGTTAACGAGAGACGCCTCCAACATTTCTGGAGCACCATATCGGTCGTCAAGTCTCTCCCATAGTCTCTGTAGGCCTCTTGTTGGGTTGTTGGCATTTGATGCCCTTATACTCATGGCATGTTTGACAGACTCTGGTCCAAGCCATTTAATAAGTAGGTCTATCTGTTCCGAGTCCGAAACTTGTAATTCGTCTATGACGTTTTTAAAGCTGGCTTTCCATGTATGGAAGGATTCTGCCCGGTCGTTAAAGCTTGTTAGCCGGGAGAACAATAGGTCCTTGCGTAGGAGAAATCTGGTTATCTCCGACGTAGGATTGATTTTTTGCTGGTATGCAACAGGGTTCTCTTCTATTACGCCTTGTTTTTGTTGTAAGACAGGGATCTCTTCAATAATGCCTTGTTTTTGTTGTAAGACAGGGATCTTTTCTGAAACGCCCTGTTTTCCTATGCCAGTTATTGTTCCCAGATCTGGGAATACATTAACTTCTGGTGACTTAGCATGTGTAGGCAAGACCTCAGGTGTTTGTGATGGCAAGTTCAGTGCCACAGATGGCACGAACGCTGGTACTTCATGACTCAGCTCAATCTTAACAGGAATTTGTTTTAACTTTTGAGGTCCTGTTACTTCCTGTACAGCAGTTGGTACAGGATGTTTATTGACGAAATCTTGCACACGCTGAAGAGGGTCTTCCGTTTCGCCAGGGAGATCGCTAAATGCTTGGCTGCCGTCGTGTTCAAGGATACGAGCCTCGGCTTCTGCGGCTGCGGCTTCTCTTTGTGCTTCTAGAATGTTCATAGCAGCCTTAATTTCGGCTTTTTCTCGTATTGCACGTGCAGCCTCTTGTTCCATTATAGTTTTCCTGCGTACGGCCTCACGTTTCATTTCAGCTTGCAGGTGTGCAGTCTCGGCTTTTCTACTTGCGGCTTCTTGTTCTAATTGAGCTTTTCTTTGAGCGGCGTTCTGTTCTGCTCGGATGGCTTCTTGCTGCGCTCTGATGGCTTCTTGTTCCGCTTCAGCCTTTATTTCATTTTGCTTGAAAAGAGCCTGTTCTTCTATCATTGCCTCCTGCTTTAGTAGCAAGGCCTGTTTTTCAGCAAAGGCTATCTGAGATCTAGCAGCCTCTGCTTTGGCACGCTTCCATCTGTGCAAGACTTGACATGTCAGAGACGTTGGAGCTCCCACTGTGCGAGGTTTTCTTGCCCTTAGATGTCTTGGTTTTTGTAGATTTAGCCTTTGTCAGGGTGAGGCGATGCTCGTGTAAGGTTTCAATTGCTAGGTCAACTTTAGACATTCGGATATCTGTTGAAAGTTTACACGTATCAATGTCTTGAAGGCTGTCTAACGTTCTTGTATTTTTAAGAAATTTCAAGTACTCGTATGTGAGCCGCCGATAATTAGTACAGGCTTGTACAATTCTATCTTGTGCTGTTAGCAATTGTTGGAGGTCGTTAGGAGGCGTGGTCGTTTCCAATAACTGAGATTCTAGGTCTGACCATAGGGCCTCTAAGTCATGATAGAACTTGTCACGTTTTTCTGTAAAAGCTCCTTGTCCCTGTTCTGTGAGTTCACGTACTCGCCTAGTCTCGGCATCTTCATCTAAAGGTGTTGTAGTAGACGGATTCTCTATTTGTTCTTTAGAGACGTCTCCCTCTGGATTTTGAATCTCGTCTTGCTGTTCCGCGTGGCTGGGATCCATGATGTAAATCAACTAACTGTAGGCAATGTTTGTTCAACGTTGTTGGTTTGCTGCCTAAGACACACAAGCTGTGTTGCGTAGTGTCAAGGTAACAGCTACGAACGATGCTCCGTTGTATTTCCTGTTCAGGAGATGTGTAGACAAGTTGTTGTCAATTTACTAGCACGAAACGTCGTTGAAACTACGTTATAACTTATGGGTCTGCTGACTGTCGTGGAGTGGCGTACGTTATCCAAGAAAAACAACAGGCAAGTCGTAGCTTTTTCACTGTACTGGCCGGACCAGCGAGTTTAACCAAGATGACTGGGTTTATGTAAAGATAAAACAATCAGGAGCTGACTTTTATTTTACTACCAATCCAAATGGTGAAAAACTGAAAATACAAATATAAATACAATTTTACAGTGTGTTCAATGATAATTAAAGTCCATTAAAAATACGGATAAACAGTTCGTAGATTTATAAAGCTGTTAATGTTCTTTATAATAATAAATAGATGAATATTCTTGCACACGTCGGGTTCTGTCTGAATTAAATTGTGTAATCGCAGATACGAACAGTTTGAACGGTTAAATGTTCATAGTTTCTTTATAACATAGGAAAACATATTAAAACAGTTCATCGCTGATGTAAAGACATAATTTGTAATGTTTTAAAGGTAACTCACGCTGTGGTTAGCCACGAATTGTTCCTTTGGACAACGTGTCCGCTGAATGTTCCTTTGTTGTGCACACGGCCTGCTGAGCAGTTTTTGTCACTCAGAAGAGAGGGGAAAGTAACATGGGTTCCTACACTGTCCTGTATAAAACTCATAAAACTGGAGCATATAAAGTGATGTACGCAATGAAACATAAACAATATAAAATGATGATCACATGAAGAACAAATGATGAATGAGTTCCAGAACAGTAGTAAAATATATCTTATTTTACATTGGGCCGTTGAGTATCATTTTTTAAAACTTTTTAGGATTTGCGATATGTGTGTTTGTCCGATCCGTATTCTGCCTATATAACAATAAGGCATTATGATTTACAATTGGATACATGCTCTCTCCATTTTCTTGCCTTATTATTGCAACTCTTACTTTGTACAGTGGTATATAGAAAAAAAAAGAAGAAAAGCGCATAAAGGACAAATAAGATATCACATAAATTGTTATCACGGTTAAGTTTGATTTTGCTATTTTGCATGTTATGCAGCTTAATGTTTTTTAAATGTAAACGAGTTTGAATGAGTACGGAAATAAAATAAGACATAATGAACAGACGTTACACAAATCTGATGTCAGGAGTCTGTAATTCAGTGGTTGTCATTGGTTGCTGTATGCGAAAAGATTTTTTCCTTTATTGATCTTTGCATGAATCAGAAAATGAAAGCCATAAGATAATCTATAGTTGGTTACATCGGCGTTCTCTGGTCTCTGATAGATTTTTCATTGGCAATCACACAACATCTCATTATTTATACAACTTATTTGGAAGATGTGACATCTTTTCAATCATTCTTATGGGGATCACGAATTTGGCCTTATTAAACCTTCTGGTTTTGTTGTATTTATTTTTTTCATTCTTTTTTTTTTTAATTCGTTATTTACTGGTAAGTTGTTCTGATAATTAACCTACGAAATTTAGGGAAGAGATTCAACGCTTTACATTTTGAAGATGATTTGAAAGCTCGAAAATGTCATGTTTAAAGTTTTAATAACGATGACTCATATCCTACTATACTTCTGTGTCTTGTTATGTTGTAATCAAAATAGAAAAAAAAATATTGAAATGATATTTAAAATATGATAGCAATTTCCTCCGATATTAAAGTTTCACGGGGTTTTCTGCTGTTAATTTCTTAAAAGACCTCTAGTAAAAGTAATTTAAATAATATTCAATGTACACACCATCTTGGCACAGAAGTATCGATAAGTCTTATCACAATAAACTCTAGTATCAAGAAGTTCATCAACAAAATTTATTTTGATCGAAAACAAATTTGTTTTTTTCAGCTTTCCAGTTTAACATGTTTAACCGTTTTGGTGTGAATATATAACAATGATGTTCAAAATTGCTATCAAATCTAGTCTAGATTTAATAGCATTTTTGACATTAATTTAAGAGATCTCATGCACATACTGATAGACGAAAAAACCACTATTTTGTGTGTCTTTGATGAGGTTTACGTTTTAAAGGGCTTTTCATCGATAGCAATAAGCATCTCGATAAAGGTGAGCAACAACTCAATAGAAGTTGTTGACTTAAGCTTTTTTGTCACCGATTTTATGCATTCGGTACATCTTAAAACTGAATTTAACTTTTGTTTTAAAAAAAATTATTAGAATACGCAGAAATTAGAGTAAATTATACACAATTTGTTTCGAAGTGAAAACAGATAACCATGTCCATTTTGGTTTTCGTCTTTGTACGAGTAATTTGTATGTATGTTTGATTTGTTTGATTTTTGTTTGTAATTTGTGTTGTATGTCTGTGATGTATTTTTACACAGTTTTGACTGCTGGATCCTAAATAGTGTTACATTAACCTATTATGTCAATTTTATCAATATAAAAGATCTATAAACAACTTTCATACAAGGGGAATTTTAGCTAGCTTTAAAACCAGGTTTAACCCACTATTTCCCTCGGCAAATGATTGTACCAAGTCAGGAATATGGCAGATGTTTTTCAATTGTCCCGTTGATTGATAGCGTCAGTTTTGAATGGACTTAAAAGTAACATAAAAATTATTTCCGTACTCTATGTATACATTACAACAACATTATTTTTATTTACCTGTGAACGTTATTTTATTTGGCGGCATTTTGTCCAAGGTAATGGTTGTCTTTCTGATATTGTTTTAGATCTAACCCCCTTGTTTTATTAATTTTTTATTTACATTGTGTCATAGATCAAAAGTATTCGTTCAGTGTATGTTCACTTGTTTTTGCTAATATGTCTTTTGATTGAGTAAAGCCATTTCAATTGATATCATATAGTGTGTCTTTCTATGCTGTGATGTTACACTATTGTTTTGGGTAGGGTGAAGATTGGCGCCTATTAAAACGTTTAAACCCGCTGCATTTGTTTGCACCTCTCATAAGTCAGGATCCTGATGTTAAGTGGTTGTCATTTGTTGATGTGGTTCCTAAGTGTTTCTCGTTTCTCGTTTCTCATTTTTTATATAGATTATACCATCGGTTTTCCTGTTTGAATTGTTTTACACGAGTCATTTTTGGGCCCTTTATATTTTGCTGTTCGGTTTGAACCAATGCTCCGTGTTGAAGGCCGTACTTTGACCTATAATAGTTTACTTTTACAATTTGTGACTTGGATGAAGAGTTGTCTCATTGGAACTCATACCACAACTTCTTATATCTATTTCCTTTTTTCAATTTGCTTTGAAGTCATTTTTTTGTATTCTTTTTAACAGTTTACATTGATACAAACCGTCCAACCAACAGAGTCATTAGTCTTGTCACAGTACACTTTCATTGAAGCTGAGTTGTCGGGGTAAACTGTGTACACACCACTTAATGCAATTTCAGGAAGATCATTGCAATCCAATAGTTGAAGTGTGTTGCTTTCTAAAATAGGAATAATAGACTTCTTTGAAAAATGTATGAAACGTAATGCACAAAGTGCATGGGTACACTTTATATTTTTTGTAAACAGTTTCTGGTCAGAGTAATTTTATTTGCGATAAAGTATGAATTTCTGTCGTCACTTTTGGCACCCATGCATTGTTCTTAAAATTGTTAAAACAACGAGGCTATTGATAACAAAAAATGACACATCAACTTTTGATGTGTAGTATTGAACTGTATTCAATCTTCCCGTGAACCAATTAAGAACGTTTTAGTTGCTATTGATAGAAACAATAACTAAGGGTGAATTTATAATTCCTCTTTACATATTTCTGCACAAATGTACCAAATATAACAATTGGGTAAATTCTTTGATGGCAATCTTTTATGAATTAAAAGAGTGTGACACATTATTATAATATTTGAAATTACGGATTAGGCAACCAAACAAAAACATTTGAATTAATTTTGTTAACGTTTATTCGTTCTGCATACTATTTTTGCCATTAAGAGAAATTATCATAACATCAAATATTTCGAAAACTCAACAATTTATTTGCTCCATTCATAAGATATTATTTTGTTTCCATAAAGCGAGTCGTGAAATTAATTACATAAATGATTAGGATTTTCCGACGGCATGAAGTTCGATCTCTGCTGAAATCACTGGTAGTTTATTGTCTAGTCAACTACCTACACAGCTATCAGTCTCCGAGGGTATCACCAGCTCAGTAGTTAGTACTTCGGTACTGACATGATTCATATAAACCTTTCTAAAATTGTCCGTTAATAAATTTTGAAATTATTAGAAACTTAGCTTGAAACTCCCTCAGGCAAAGTTGACCTGAGATAGATTTGGCTTTTGATTTTTGGATCTTTTTTTTTGGTACTGTAGCTCTTCAACTGTTTTGGTTCCTATACATTCTTTGCATTTCAAATATTCGGCTTTGAGCGTTCCTGATGATTGTAAATTAAGAAAATCTCTTCGGACGCATGACATTTATATAACGTGTTGTTTTCATTTTCTACAACACAGCTCGGCACTTACTATGGCAAATATAGTCCACTTCATTGATCATATCCCATTTAAATTACCTCTTAAGTTATGTTAAAGAATTTATCTTTGAAAAAAAAAATGAATACTAAGAATAAAGGTGTGTATAATGGATCGAGAGGAATCTGAAAATATATTTACTATCGTTATTGATGGAACTTTTGTTGAAGGTAAACAACTTATCCCTGTAAATTGGTTTAAATATTCATTTGCATATTTGATAAATGTATTATTGTTACGCAAAAGAGAGGCCAAAGATACCAAAGGAATACAATACTACTTAAAATGCGTCATTATATAATAACGTTTCTTTGGAAACAATATTTTGCTCGAAAAAATATTACATTACAATACGACATGAAATACAAGATGTTTCCAAACAGATAAATATCTATGAAAAATATTACATCATTTTTCGTAATATTTGGTAATATAAAAACATACAATGTATAAGCTTTTGTTTGTGGTTTAATATTTATTAAACAGATATGTCAAACTTCAAACAAAAAATGCAAACAAATCTGGCAAGCAGAAATGATACCAATACAAGTTTCAAGGTGAAAATAAGGAGATGTTGTATAATTGCAAATGAGACAACGACTCATCAAAGTTTAAATGAAGTGGTTGTGAGCAATTATAGGTAACCGTACGGCTTTCAACAATGAGAAAAAGACCATACCGTATGGTCGGCTATAAGATGCCCCGACATAAACAAAAATATAGAACAATTATATTGAGAAATCTAACAGTCTAATTTATTACAAAACAATTTACGAAAAACAAATATAACAGACATGAACCAACGACAAGAATCACTTTGATGTACATTTCTTTTAACTTAAAGTTGAACCATATAATAGTAAAATAAAGTAGTCTTTGTTTGATAATGGGTAAAGATACGTACTTACAGCGTTTGATTTTTTTTTTTTGATTAGCAAGAGACAAATTATTTGAAAAGGAAATTTATTTAACATCTTATGAATCTTACTGTCTGTACTTTTTTTCTAGACACGGAACTCGTATGGAACTTCTTAACGATACTTAAGGAGATTTTTATCGCTGCTGTATCATGGAAACGACGCCAACAACGACAATATGCAACACTTGATTAAACCTCCATCACACTAGACACAGACCATGAAGATCCCACTTCGATCTATAAAAAAATACAATCGTAATGAAATCGTGGTAAGGTCGGCTTTGATATTCAATATTTTATAGTTCATACTACGACCTTGCTATGATCCTGATAAGATCCTGCACCGTATTGCTACGACAGTAACACGTTCTAGTTACGATCTTTTCACGATCTTGCTACATCTAATAAGACCTTACCACGACTTACACGATCTCTGTACGCTTCTACCAAGACCTTCTCGATCGCATTACGATCTCAATACGAGTCTACTACGATTGAACCAAGACTACACTACGATTCCACTACGTTGTCACTACGCTCTTCATCCCTATGAAAATCTTGACTTTCCCATTGTACACACCAGTTTCCTTGTATCAAAAACACTTGAAAGACCGTTGTGTGAAATGTAGAAGTATCAACAGAATGGGGTCGTGCAATTGTCCTGGGAAGGACGTAGAAGAATCGTAGTGAGGTCGTACAGAGGATGACAAGCGCTTAGTAGCAGCGTATTATTGTCATCCTCATCATAGTATAATTGTATCAATTTCGTAGTAAAAGCGTAATAAAGACGTAGTGAAATCGAGATAGTCTCAGTGAAACCGTAGTAAGGTCGTAACGAAATATTTTTCATTGGCTTCCCCGATTGCACCACGTTTCCAATACGATGCTTCTACGCCCATCTCGATCTTACTACATCTTTACTACGACCTTCCTACGCTTCTACTACGACTTGTTTTGGCCACGACTGCACTACAAATGTTTTGAGCATGTTCAAAGTTGGTCGTGGACTTCCACGATCATGAAGATACGTCCTTACTACGACCTTACTACGACCACCACGATCTAACTACGACTTTCAAATTTTTTTATAATAATTTTATATTTATAAGATGGTAGCGGGATCTTGGTCTTTGTGTGATGGGGGTATTAGTGCAGGGTTGACGCAAACATGTAATTGACAATTAACAGCTTCTATTGATAGAAATATGAGAATTTCTTATTAGTTGGAATCTATCTTTTATAAACATAATTATAGATTATGTAACACACTATTTGTAGATAAATAAAGGCAACAGTAGAATACCGGTGTTCAAAAGTCATAAATCGATTTAGAGAAAAAAAATCCGGGTTACCAACCAATTCGAGGGACACATCGAGGAAAACAAATGAACAACAGGAACACCGAAGTGCAACAAAAACAAAATAATATCGCTAAAACACTACGTGACAGAAATACAGCACAGACACACGCAGGAACATTCATAACAGAGAAACGCACAAACAAATAGTCGACACAACACCACAGAACAACAACGAACATATTCTTCTTCAACGAAAAACACCACAGGATATCAAAAACAGTGACACGCTTACGTAACTAACATGCAATCTGGAACTTTTCACAATTATTTTCACAATATTAGTCCAAACAATTTTCATGACAATACTGATATTGAAAGGCAATTTTATAATCATTTTGACTACAAACGATAAGACATAACAGATTATCCAACCTAAACAGTAACAGAAACAACAAAATGAATTCATTAATGTTGGATGTACAAAACACCGAGACACGCCGCACAGCAATGTAAATTCATATTCAGTATAACAGTCATATTCGGTAATATGACAATGATGGTATTGTAGGGCAATTTTATAATTATTTGAATAACAAACGATACGACATAACACATTATTCAACCGAAACCATAACAGAAACATCAACAAATAAAGCAGGACATTAGTTAAACTAATTTGTTCAATTGGGTTCCGTACACGAACCGTGTACTTTCTAAAAAAAGGACAGTAGTTGCATGAAGATGAGGAGGGAATCCGTGGACGTTGGGTTTTGCTTTATTTTGTTTAATAATTCCTAATTATATATATTTTGGTGTAATATATAACATTACAAATATCCCCCGTTCATATTAAATTTCTGAAAAATGTACATGCTTGAACAAAACGCTTTACGATATGAGGAGCCATGTTTTAAAAATAATTAAAGAAATGATACATACCTAGTAAAGGGCATTTTGGTAATTCAAGCCTTTGAATAACAGACATTCCTTTAGATCGCTCTGTTGAAGGATAACATTGTGAATTCATTATGCATTTCTGTGTATCATCTTCGTAACTGGCTACACAGCATTGGTTCATAGTGGAGCACTGCAATGTACAGTCAATTCTAGATTTGGATGAAACATGTGATTGGAAAACGTTGAATCCTTCAGATAGATATGTTGCATTTTTTTCTATACTAAATCTTTTTATTTCCAAAGAAGTTACACCAACTCCAAAAAATATGACAAGATATATAGAATTATAATCGTGCATGATTCAATGCGACGAAAGTAAACGATTTAAACAAAAAATTTTCTCACTCTACAAGAACTCGTTATGATTAAGTCTATTACATGACAATACGTAATCTGAATGTCTCGATGTTTTAAAGAACCAGTAGAATCTTGTATATCGTTTATTGAATGCTATGATATACTGGGCGGGCTTAACACTCCATTCAAATGTAACACTAGCTTAATACAAACAAGTCAGATAGGTATATTTGTAATGAATTGGATAACAAATATATTATTTAATTGATTTTTTAGTTTCAGACTTGGATTAAAAAAAACAAATCATCAACCTTTAAATGGATTTATCCGTGTCACTTAAACTTTTTTAAAAGAACTGATTAGAAAACAGATCATAATGTCTTTTGATAAGGTTACTTTAATATATGGTGTCCGTTTGCAGACTGTGTTATTGATAATGCATCACGTTGACTGTGAGCGTCCGTATTGGGAAAGTACCGCCGATAACCTCGTTCTGATTTCAATGACGGAATTAATGAATATTCATTGAAAAAGGAGTTTGAATAAAACATGTAAAAGGAATTATGGGGTAAACGTCAATGAGATGGTCACAGATCGCAATAAGGGTCTCTATTATTTCTTTATAACGTTTGATCTCATTGAAAAAAAAGTCGCACTTATTCTTTTTTTCAAATTGTTTGTGCGTGTAATGTACAGTACAAGTCCATCAATTTCTTCAAAATTCAGAAAAATTTACAGCTTACAAATTTAGCCACAACACATCCATACCCCTATGGACAAGTCATGAGATGTTCCGAAAAATGTAAATACTACCTTTTGGAATCTAGCTAAATCATGTACTAATCATGTAAAATAAGACATTTGTAATTTTATTTCAATTCATCTTTCATTTCCATCCCATAAAACTTAAAACTAAATGAAAAGGAAAAAAAAAGAAAGAAAACATACACAGCTCTTTGGTTGGGTTGTTGTCTCTTTGACACATTCCTCATTTCTATTCTCAATTGTACTATAATTAAAGGGAACTACGAAAATGGGGGTCATTTATTCATATGTAAGACGCGTAAATATTCAAATGATATGGTGTTCATCTACATGAATATCTTTCAACATGGTTACGACTTCATGCTATATATACATCTATCTTTGGTGATGATTTTATCTTGACGATTAATTCGTTGTTCTTGCAATATTTTGTTTTTTTTTTGTTTGCATATTCAAAATATAACATACACAGGATCCCGCTAACATATTTAACCCCGCCACATTCTGTTTGTATGTTCCTGTCCCAAGTCAGGAGCCTGTAATTCAGTGGTTGTCGTTTGTTGATGTGTCACATATTTGTTTTTCGTTAATTTTGCTGTACATATATTAGGCCGTTAGTTTTCTCGTATGAATTGTTTTACATTTGTCATTTCGGGGCCTTTTATATCTGACAATGCGGTATGGGTTTTGCTCATTGTTGAAGGCCATACGGTGAACTATAGTTGTTAATTTCGTGTCATTAGGCCTCTTGTGAAGAGTTGTCTCATTGGCAATCATACCACATCTCCTTTTTTATATTTACGAACATTTGTCTAGATTTTGCGATAACTGACTATATATTTATTTGGTGTCTATACAAAAACAAGCTCTTAAGCACAGCGAGTCTGAAACTTTTGTAACATGAATACACTGTTACTGTTCTGTAGTTATTGTGCGAGGATTAATCTGTTTGTTAAAGGATAATTAAGTCAATTTGAAATTCTTATCGTAAAAATGTATTGCCTTTTATCAAGCCGAAATCTTTTGAATCTTGTCTTGTAATAACATAAACGATAGCAATTCATTTACACAATATGCACATTTGACACCTAATATATATCTAATAACGCTTATAAAATTAAAATTAAACCTAATAAAACGATGACGATTTGGAAAAAATATGACCTAACAAATAGGAGTAAAATCACAATTGTTTAATTGGCACTTTTCAAAAATTTGTGCAGAATTTATCTTTGATTCAAATAAAGAAATACTTGGCATAAGTAAAGTTTTATCCTGTCCAGTACTATAGGGAAAGTTTCACATAAGATAAAAACCATCACTGGAAGTTAACCAATCAAATTTTCACACCTTTTTTTTTCCCTATTTATAAGCTTAAGTAGCCATTTAACCTCAAGTTTCCAAAAATATTTTATAGAAACACCGAATAAAAAAAGAATTGTGCATTGAAACACCCAAGATATATGTATATGACTCAGAATTTTGTTTATTGCATTGAAATATATGATTAATAATCTTCAACTGTCAAATACAAGGCAATATTTATTTTTAGACGCTTTTTATGTATGAAACAGGATATGACGTACTATGATTTTGTGATATAACACCTTAAGTCATTTCCGGACAAAAAATCTGGGAAATGTAATAAGGAAAAAAATTGATTGAATGTTATGGGAATTTCCCCACTTTTTAGTTAACAATTAAATCTGAATAAAGATTAAGGATTATTAGTGGTGAAGTTTATACCTTCAAAGATTCTACGGACCCATCACGAGTTAGTTGATTGATATGGATACATGTATTTGATTAACAGATGACGACGAATATTGATTAAATAAACTGTTGTTTTGTCTTTTGGTCATTTTTCGTTTTTTGATATGGCATTGTCAGTTTGTCATCGTCACATGAGTTTGAATATTCCTTTGGTATCTTCAGCCTTAATTGGATTGAAATGAAATCCAAAAAATGAGACAATTTTGGTATGCTGTTTGTTTTTAACATTGACCAAAAAATCCATCTACTTCAAGCTTGATGATGACACATACGTTTTGATGAAAATGACAGTGTATACTATTTATATTGAAGCCATCACATTGTTGGTATATGCTCGTAAAGTTTACCGTCTGACAATTGAGACCTTCGTCATATGTATTATTCATTGAAGATTCCTATTTGGTAAATAGGTATGATTTTCAGATAATTTGACATACTTTTTTGTTTTTCCACACATATACAAGAATTACATTTTACTTGTTGAAATTAGAGAAATATACTTAAACTTAAACGGACTATATTTTTGACTTAACTTTTTTTATAAAACTAATGAGAATAAATGTTTTGCCATTTTACTCTTCTTCTTTCATGATTCATTGGATGATTGCTAGTTTTTCATTAAGTTTTTTTTTTGTTAAGTTTCATGATATATAAGATCATTTGTTTTAACCTTATATGACACACACGGTCAGTGTGTGCTTCTTTCATGGTATTTTGTTAAAAACCTGACATTATGGTAACCCCCTTGTTATATCAATTTTCCCTTATGAAGCAATAAAACACACAGCAATTCCACTTGGCAAAAACAATTCTAAGAATTGCTTATTTTTAACGTGGTTGTCGTTATGTTGTAGTATATGTAACAAAGAGATAAAAGTTATTATGAAGATTCCCATATATATTTACCTGATTTTAAAATAAAAAGTTCTATAAGAAGCCGGGAATCATGTAACTACAAAATTTAGAAAAACGTCTAAATATGAAATACAAAATGCTTCAAGATGGATCTATCTTATTTTAAAGGGGCAAATTAGAAAATCCTATGAAAACAATACATTTGTTACACCTCTGAGATCATAAAAAATACAAATCTATAAGATTAAGTTAAGTGATAACGTGCTGAAGCTTTTCATATGTATATTAAATTGTTAACACAAAGATTTCAAACAATGCAATCAGACCCATATTTCGATTACATAAGACCTGAGTCATCAAGCTGAGGTAAAATGATAGTTACAAATAAAGTACTTTATTTTAGAAATACAACATTGGCTACATTGTTTAAAATGCATATACCAAAGTATGGAAGTATTTGCTTTATTTTTCATTATCATTGATTCTCGTGCACACACACACACACTAATTATGTAAGGATTAAACATTATCACTGAACTAGTGTCACTGTTTTCTCTTAGCTTCCAATAAATATTGCTTTAGGATTAAGTTTTACCAATTTGAAACTTATATTTTTCATGAAATGACATAATTTTTCCATTTTTTTATTCTTTGAAGGAAAACTTTTTTTGAAAATGAATTCACCCAAGAAACATAATATAGCTAGGAAATAGATGAATTCAGACAACAAAGACAAATTTATAGCTTTTCATGTTGCATTTTTAATGCCTTAATTTCAAATATAATAGTTTTATTCATTCGAGTCAGTTCTACAAAACATTAGATGATATAAAAAAGAAGATGTGGTATGATTACCAATGAGACAACTCTCCAGAAGATTGATTCTTTTTATAAAAAATATAGATTTCCTCAATTTTACACCATATGCGCAGTTCGACACTTAATATATTTCTAATAATGCTCGAGGCGTAGGGTATAAAATATAATAAAACCCTAACACAAACGAGAGAATTCGTATTTCACAATATTTTCTAATGCATTTATTTTTAAACCGATATGCATTCCTCGAATACAGTCCGTTGATAATATTTACAATATCAATATGTGTATGCAGACAACCTGCTGATCGGTTCATATCACAATATGTTGAAGTTCACATCATTCCATTTAGACCATAATCATCTTTCACTGTCGTACAAGTGAGAGGTTTAGCTAGCTATAAAACAAAATTTAACCCAGGCTTCAAAACTATTGTTAAACTACCTATTCTACAAGTGGCGTGAATCAGATGTGGATACTTCAACATTCCAAAGATCTTTTACAGTACATACAATTTAAGACTTTTTCATTTTGTAATAAGATTAAAACATTTGACTTTTCTACACATTACACAAGTATTCCCCATTCCAAACTAAAAGACAAATGAAAAAAGTTGGTCCA